AAACAAATAAAATTTTAGCTCAAAGTGATCATACGTAATCTAGAAACAGGACCTAAACGCGCAAATAGTTTAAAAAATATTGAAAGTTAAGTTTTAACTCAAATAAATCTAAATAGGTTAAAATATTCATGCAATATTCATCAAATGTAAGCCGAAACGTACAACTTGAAAAAGTCTTTAAATGCTTATAACTCCTAAACCAATTAATAGAGAGACGAAATTTAATATAAAATCATTTTTAATTAAACATATTAGACTTCGTTTAAAAATAATGAAAATGGAAGCCGTTTAGAGTTGTTAACTTATTCCTAAAATAGTATTTTAATGTAAAATATGACAACTTACTTTTTAATTTTATTTATATAATCCTTGAAGATAATTACTTTTTGGAATATATTTAATAAACTTCACCAATTAACAAAACCTTCTTAAATGTTTATTAACAGTTGACTTTTAACATAACACTGTCAAATAGGTTTTTTTTATTACTTAAGATTCACAATATATTAATTACACTATTTTTCTATAAATATTATCAATATTATTCAATAACTCATTTAAGTTTTACAATGAATAATTAAAACTGAACATGACTGGACAAAACACAAAACATAACTGAACTTAGCAAAATTTCTGCATTATTTATTTTTATTTTTTCGCGTTCACGCTAAAAAATGGAGTATTTATATTTTTTTGTTTTTGTACTCTTCTTACTATCATCCGGAAGTAACCTAAAAGTATACTTCCAGACGGAAAACTAGAAATCAATGTATTTTGTTTTTGTAAAATGTGTGCTCTCGTCTGACAATCGTACAGAAGTGACTACAATCCACATTTCCAGATGAATAAAATGCAACATTAATGTGAACACTCTTCAAACTGTCTTCCAGAAGTGACATAAACATACAAATCAAGAAGATACAAATTAGGAAACAATGTATTTTGTTATTGTAAAATGTGTGTTCTCATACAACTCTCATTCAGAAGTCACTAAAACGTATACTTCCAGATGAAAAAAATTCAACAGTCATGGTTTTTTGTTTAAGCAAAATGGATGCACTCTTCTAACTATAATCCGGAAGTAACTTAAAAGTATATTTCTAGAAGACGAAAATTCGAAATAAATGTATTTTGTTTTTGTAAAATGTGCGTTCTCGTCTGACAATCGTCCAGAAGTGTTTCTGACGTGGCGTCGGGGGTGATGCGCAATAGTTTTGCCTTCTAAATGTTTGAAGGGTTTTGTCTTCTAAATGTTTGAAGGGTCTAAATATGTATTAGTAACAAAAATGTATATGTGTTGGTGCATTCTCAACATACAGAGTTTTATAAAAAATTACAATTTTAAATTTGTTTGGATTTTCAATACCAAAAATTGAAACTCTGTTTGTAAATTAAAATTGTACAACAAGAAAAATGATATGTCAATAATTAAAAAAATATTTTTTTTTCAGTTCAAGAAAATAAAACAAAATTTTAAGTAAAAAGTCCTTTAAAACTATTTAAAAAAATTCCAGTTTTTTGGGGATAACGGCAATTTCGCGTACGGTCCTTCAAAGTGGTCAAAAAAGTAAGGTAAAGTTTTGAATGTTTTGACAAGTTTAAATTTCTCACAAGAGAGTAGAACTCACACAGTACTCGTAGATGTGAGTGAGTAATTTTCTTTATGTGAGAGTCGGACTATGTAAGAATTATATCAATTCATTTTAGTACACTCCAAAATTTGTTTTATTGTTGTATTCCATAACACAGCAAAAAATACTGCTTGCCTGGAAGCAATTTTGTAAGGCAATTTCTATTACGAAAAGTGAAAGTGAACTTTTTTCGCGAGCACAAAAAATGCAACGCAATGAAATAACAGTAAATTTATGATTTTTATTGCGTTTTGAATGAAAGTTTCTTGAAGAAATTATACAATACGAATATTATAATAGTAATAATTATTATCTAATCAAAAAAGAACTATTATTAAAGCTCTATAGGATAAGAATTCATGCTTGAAATTGGTTAGTTTTTTTGAGTGAAAAATTTGGCGTAAATCGATCTGTATTACGATTTCACCTGAGAAAAATCATAAATTTACTGTTATTTCACTGCGTTGCATTTTTTGTGCTCGCGAAGAAAGGTCACATTTTTCAGCAAATACAAAATATTTCACATTGCGTAATAGAAATTGAAACAAAATTTCGCTTGTTTGGAAGCTCTGAGTTAAGAAAATAAACAGCAAAAAGAACAGATGATTTCATTACCGTTATTTCAAAACAGACGAAATTTTAAACACTTTGTGCACCAACGCAAAAGGAATAAGAATAAATCATGTTTTTCGTGACGAACGTGATATTAAAATGTTGATGAAAAGAAATCAAAATTTTACCGTTAACTGATCATTATTTATTATCTTTGATTTTTTTTAAGAAGTTATTCTTGTAACTAATATATATTCTGATGATATCCCATTTACATCATCGCTCTCATATAAATTAATATTTAAGAGAAAATGTTACTAAAAATTACAAAAAAAATGCCCATACTCAAGATCCTTATAGATAGCGGAGTCGATCTAGCCATGTCCGTCTGTCTGTCTGTGTGTATGTTGAAATAAGTTTTCAGAAGACCCCAGATATCTGCGAGATCCGAATTTTCAATAATTCTATCGTTCTATCGAATAGAACGCTATTTAAAATCAGCCCAATCGGCCCATAAAAAATCCGAAACCACCTCTGAAAATTTCATGAAAAATTACATTTTTCGTGCATGCTTATACAAAGCAATAAACAAACAAAAACAAAACACAGTATCAAACGTAAATTTTTTTGTTATTATGATTTCTTGTTTATAAACACAAAGCAAACAAGTAAGAAATTATAGTCGGGCGAGGCCGACCATATAATACCCTACACCTGTTACAAAAATAAAATGTGATTTAGTTTTCATAATAGAGCATTTAAGTTGAATTTCTCCTTGCCTTGAATTATACTTAAGCCATTTATTGCTGAATAAAATTGTGGACATTTAAGTCAAATTTTGAAGGGGGGTTTGTATAGGAGCTATGGTCAAATGATACCCTATAATTATAAAATTCACGAGAGTCATCAAGGCTATTATAGAACTTGGTTTTGCAGCTTTTTGTCGAGATACGAGTATATTAAACATAATTACAAACTTAAAATCCCTATTCGTCGGGTTCAGTTGTATGGGGGCTAGGTGAAATAATGGACCGATGTTAACCATTTTCAATAGGCTTCGTCTCCGGTACCATAGAAGATCATCTGCCAAATTTCATTGAATTATCTTCAAAATTGCGACCTGTAGTTTGATTAAAAGGTTTACAAGCCCTATTCGGGGGTTCAGTTGTATGGGGGCTATGTGAGAAAATGGACCGATGTTAACAATTTTCAATAGGCTTCGTCTCCGGTACCATAGAAGATCAACTGCCAAATTTCATTGAATTATATTCAAAATTGTGACCTGTAGTTTGTTTAAAAAGTTTACAAGCCCTATTCGGGGGTTCAGTTGTATGGGGGCTAGGTGAAATAATGAACCGATGTTAACCATTTTCAATAGACTTCGTCCCTGGGACAATAGAAGATCTTGTGCCAAATTTCATTGAATTATCTTCAAAATTGCGACCTGTAGTTTGATTACAGTGTTTACAAGCCCTATTCGGGGGTTCAGTTGTATGGCGGCTAGGTGAAATAATGGACCGATATTAACCATTTTCAATAGGCTTCGTCCCTGGGACAATAGAAGATCATGTGCCAAATTTCATTGAATTATCTTCAAAATTGCGACCTGTAGTTTGATTACAAGGTTTACATGGACGGACAGACGGACGGACGGACGGACATAGCTAAATCGACTCAGAAAATGATTCTAAGCCGATTGGTATACTTTAAGGTGGGTATAGGACCAATATTATTGTGCGTTACAAACATCAGCACAAATCCAATATACCCTCCCCACTAAAGTGGTGTAGGGTATAAAAAAGAACATCACGTTACGTTGTTATTGGCTAGAAACATGAAATTAAGTATGTAAAGCCTGGATTAGGCGAAAACACATTAAAGGGGATTTTTTTGGTAAGTTTTCGTTCTAAAAAATTTACTTTTTGAATTTTCTGTAATATTGAAGCTAAAAATATGAAATTAAGTTTGTAGAGCCCGGATTAGGCGAGAACACATAAAAGGTGACTTTTGGTACTTTTTCGATCTACAAAAGGTACTATTTGAAGTTTCTATAATATTGAACCTAGAAACATGCAATTTTGCATGTAGGGCCTTGACTAGGTAAGAACCTATAAAAAGGGACTTTTTGGTACTTTTTCGTTCTACAAAAGGTACTTTTTGAATTTTCTATAATATTAAGCCAACCCAGCAAAAAATTTGAGAAAAGGTAATCGAGTGTGGAATTAAGCTTTTTTGGCGGAACCACTTCCGAACTGGATTACCATCTTAATGATTTTTACAAGGCGTGAGACTAAAATATTTGATTCTTAAGAACTATTTACATAATTTGAGTAAGAACTAGTTACTTTTTGTAAATAAGAAATACTTCTTAAAAATTTAAAATAAGTAGTTCTTTTATCTTTAAAGTAAATAGTGCTTTTCGCAAAATTATAACTACTTCCTTGCTTAAATTTAAGAACTAATAAAATTTTTTTGTTTTATAAGTGCTTCTATTTTTCATATAGAAAGTAGTTCTCTATAAAAGTATAGAATTAAATTTTTGTTTTTAATATATATATTTTTTTTATTAATTTATTAAAAATTATTAGAAATAAACAATACAAAAACTAAAAACATATTCACAGTCTTTCACATTTGTACTTTAAAATTACATACAAAGTATAAATACAAATTTAATAACGTAACGTAAATATTCAATCTTTCACATTAGTACTTTAAAAAATCAAAATTAAATACATAACATAAATATGTAAGTATAACTTTTTAAAAGTTTAATTTTTATAGTTTTAATCAGAACATTCTGATTCGTTCAAACTATCTCTTTTTCGTTTTAAACAATTCATCTTAAAATGCTTATTTTTAGCGAATTTAATGGCTTTCCGCATTTCTGCTAAAAATTCAATCTCCGTTGTTACATCTGATGATCTTGCCACTGAAAATATATAAAAAATATTTATTAGAAATTTATAAAAAATAAAAATTAGAATTTTTTAATATTTACTTACAAAATATAACATTCATAATTGCTTTGTAATCCATTAATCGCTTTTTTCCTTGAATTCCTCTCATATTGTACTCCAATAACATCTTATTGGAAATAATGTTACAAATTCCTTTTTGCAAATTTTTATTTCCCAGAACGCGTTTTATAGACGAAACCTATTAAAAAATTAAAATGTTTAATTGAAAAAAAAATACATAGAATATTAAAATAACTTACAATTTCACTTTTATTGTCATCGTTAATCATGTTCTCAAAATCGTTTAAATCCTTTTCTGATGAAAGCGGAAACAGTGTGGTATATTTTGGATGTTCAAAATGTGATTTAAAAGATGAATTTAGTGCTACTATTTGGTTAGATAGAACATTTGTAAGTATATTATTTTGATTCACTATAGTGTCTGAAATTAGAATTAAAAATGTATATTTAGAATTTTGAAAAATGTTTACTATTACATGTAATCTTTACTTTACTTACCTTTTAAATTTTCGATTCCCGCCAAAATGTTTTTGTTATTCTCACTTTGTTGTAACAAATTATAGATCTGGGAATTAAATTCATTTTGTTTTTTTAATAATGCTAAAAATATAATATATTAATTAGTAAATATTTTTACTTCATACATCAGCATATTTACTTAGAATTTCAATTAGAAAATCTTTTGCCTGGGCTGTTAGATCTTCATCAGCTTTTTGTTGTATAGATTTATTTTTTTCTGTTAAAGTTATAAGAAAATATAATTAGTGGTTAAGTTATTCAATTGAATGTAACAGTGGTATTAATACGAGTTTGTTATCAAAAGGAAGTGACATAATTTTAGAAGAAATATCTTTAATATTGTATTTTTGAACGGAAGCATAACTGTTAATGTTAACGAAAGCAATGCCAATATCTAAAGATCTTATAGGTTTTTCATAAAAGTTTTGGGGATTCAAAAATGGCTTTCCAAGAAATGTGTGGTCACTATTAAAACTGATTATTGATACGTAATTATTATCGTTCATTAAACATAAGTTGTTGGGAACTTTATTCGTGAGATATGATGTTTCAGTTTGAAATCCTATTATATCTCCAGAAGTACTTAACTTTGGGCCGGTGTGAATCTTTCTTATCTTTATAGGAGAATCTATGAATTTATTAAAAATTTGTTGTCCAATATGTTTTGGCATTCGTACCTTTTGCTTTAAAGTTTTTAAAAAATTTTCAAATTTGTATGCGGATATACTGTTTAAATCACTAAACTCCTCAACGCACTCCACCAAATGCAGCAAACTGTGTACATTAAAAGAAACACTCGATGGCCCATAATATGCAGGAAATTTAGTTACAAATTCGTTTATTAATTTTTCTATTTTACGACCATTTTGTTTAAATTTATTGGGACATAATAAACTTCTGTATGACGTGTGTAAAATAACAAAGTGATCGTACAAGTGCTTTGGAAGAAATGTCTTTAAAACAATGATGCCGGTATAAAGAACAAATTGGCAAAATTCTGTGGACTTCCAATAATATATTTCCTCAAACCCCCTTGGCTTTCGTACAAATTCTTTTGGTATATAAATGGCGATAGAGATGAAAGAACACCAGACATTTCTAATTTTTGATCATTTGTCAAATTAACTACTCTTTTTTGTAAAATGAATTTTAGTATTTTTTTGGTTATCCCAAGGTCTAACATATGCATGGGTTCAACCGGGAATATTAGAAATTTATAAAAAATAAAAATTAGAATTTTTTAATATTTACTTACAAAATATAACATTCATAATTGCTTTGTAATCCATTAATCGCTTTTTTCCTTGAATTCCTCTCATATTGTACTCCAATAACATCTTATTGGAAATAATGTTACAAATTCCTTTTTGCAAATTTTTATTTCCCAGAACGCGTTTTATAGACGAAACCTATTAAAAAATTAAAATGTTTAATTGAAAAAAAAAATACATAGAATATTAAAATAACTTACAATTTCACTTTTATTGTCATCGTTAATCATGTTCTCAAAATCGTTTAAATCCTTTTCTGATGAAAGCGGAAAAAGTGTGGTATATTTTGGATGTTCAAAATGTGATTTAAAAGATGAATTTAGTGCTACTATTTGGTTAGATAGAACATTTGTAAGTATATTATTTTGATTCACTATAGTGTCTGAAATTAGAATTAAAAATGTATATTTAGAATTTTGAAAAATGTTTACTATTACATGTAATCTTTACTTTACTTACCTTTTAAATTTTCGATTCCCGCCAAAATGTTTTTGTTATTCTCACTTTGTTGTAACAAATTATAGATCTGGGAATTAAATTCATTTTGTTTTTTTAATAATGCTAAAAATATAATATATTAATTAGTAAATATTTTTACTTCATACATCAGCATATTTACTTAGAATTTCAATTAGAAAATCTTTTGCCTGGGCTGTTAGATCTTCATCAGCTTTTTGTTGTATAGATTTATTTTTTTCTGTTAAAGTTATAAGAAAATATAATTAGTGGTTAAGTTATTCAATTGAATGTAACAGTGGTATTAATACGAGTTTGTTATCAAAAGGAAGTGACATAATTTTAGAAGAAATATCTTTAATATTGTATTTTTGAACGGAAGCATAACTGTTAATGTTAACGAAAGCAATGCCAATATCTAAAGATCTTATAGGTTTTTCATAAAAGTTTTGGGGATTCAAAAATGGCTTTCCAAGAAATGTGTGGTCACTATTAAAACTGATTATTGATACGTAATTATTATCGTTCATTAAACATAAGTTGTTGGGAACTTTATTCGTGAGATATGATGTTTCAGTTTGAAATCCTATTATATCTCCAGAAGTACTTTACTTTGGGCCGGTGTGAATCTTTCTTATCTTTATAGGAGAATCTATGAATTTATTAAAAATTTGTTGTCCAATATGTTTTGGCATTCGTACCTTTTGCTTTAAAGTTTTTAAAAAATTTTCAAATTTGTATGCGGATATACTGTTTAAATCACTAAACTCCTCAACGCACTCCACCAAATGCAGCAAACTGTGTACATTAAAAGAAACACTCGATGGCCCATAATATGCAGGAAATTTAGTTACAAATTCGTTTATTAATTTTTCTATTTTACGACCATTTTGTTTAAATTTATTGGGACATAATAAACTTCTGTATGACGTGTGTAAAATAACAAAGTGATCGTACAAGTGCTTTGGAAGAAATGTCTTTAAAACAATGATGCCGGTATAAAGAACAAATTGGCAAAATTATGTGGACTTCCAATAATATATTTCCTCAAACCCCCTTGGCTTTCGTACAAATTCTTTTGGTATATAAATGGCGATAGAGATGAAAGAACACCAGACATTTCTAATTTTTGATCATTTGTCAAATTAACTACTCTTTTTTGTAAAATGAATTTTAGTATTTTTTTGGTTATCCCAAGGTCTAACATATGCATGGGTTCAACCGGGAATTGAGTAATCATTTTTATGTTTGCATCTTCCAACATTGATTTAAAATGAAGAAAATATGATTGATGAAAATTTGGATCGAATCTTTCTGTGAATTGCGCGTCTGTTCTCGGAGTTGCCTTTTTAGTACTATAAGTGTTAACGTTATCTATTCTTCTACCAATTTGATGGCATTTTGAACATCCATTGAAAGACATGTGGCCCTTAACACCACACACGAAAGAACGCGCTGGCGCATCACATATAAAGGCCCTTATGGAACATTTAACTTTATTAGATCCAAAATCAATTCCATCCTCATTTAATTCTTGGTATTCATGTAGAAAATCATGAAGGTAACTGTCTAAATTTAAGGGTTTGTGTGGTCCTATATATCTGCCTATTAAAAAAGCATCAATTTCTTCCATACCTACAATTTTACCTAAAATTGGCCACAACCCAATGCCCGAACTCTTATAAAGAGGTAGACCATCGATACCAATATCTATTTCAATTGCATGAACGTTAGCACCAAAAATATGTTTAATTTTATTTATTTGGACTAAAAGTCCAATGTGAACATAGTGTCCAGGCGTAACTGTCCTTATAGAACATGTTTTCTTTGCTTTGATTAACGTACTTACACTTAAAGGAACGTCCAAATTTTCTTCCCTTAAAATTTTAAATAAATTTTGGCAAGACGCAACTGTTGGATTATATTCTTGAACCCATGTTTTCAGTTTTGACTTTAAATCTGAAGTCTGAGGATTAACATTATTTTCACCTAAATTATGTACACTAACATTGTTATTTTTTTTGTTTTCTTCTGTCATTGAAAACATTTTTTTTAGTTTATCTTTTATTTTATTTTTATAATATTGGGACTTACTTGACATTATTATTGATTACACTTTATACTTAGTAAAATTATAGAATATTATTAAAAAACTTCACAATTTGTTTAAACTTTTAATATTACAAAATACGCGTCCACTCTAGCCAATTCACAATTTTAAATGAGTTTTTTAATAAAGAGAATAAATTTGTGTTGTTTCTGAAAGAAAAAGTAACGGTATATTTTTGTTTGTTTTTGCTCTCTCACTTTGCACATATAATATTCAAGTTTTTACACAAAGATCCAGCTGATCACAATTTATTTTTTTATATACAGACTTTAGTATAATGTGTATGTCAAATTTCATATAAAAAAAAATGACAGAAAACTATTTTCTCTCAAATAAAGAGTCATCTTTTTTATATACCTTCTTAATAGGTTAATAGAAAAAGTTATTGTTATTAATTCCATTACTTTTAGAGAATAAAAAATCAAAATATCAATTTAGTATTAAAAACTTACTTACTTTTTACAATAATATATTCTAAATGTAATCGAGTTTATCGAGATTTTAAAGACAAAATTCAAACTCGATTACCTTTTGAAAATATTGTAATTGAGTTTTAAATAGAAAAATATTCCACTGTTTTCTCTTTCGAGAAAAAAAAACGTTTGAGTTTTAAGAAAAGTGGAATTAAAACGTCAATTTATTGCTTAGAATTAGATGTTTTTTTTAATTCTTTTTAACTTTTCAAAATAATGAAACAAATAAAAATATTGTTTGTTAATATTACAACTAGATTTATAATTTTTTATAAAATATGTATTTGTACAAATTTTAGTGCTTAATTAACAATTAAATGTTTATTTGTAATTATTTTATGTTATTTGTATTTCATCTCTAACTAAAATAATATTCAGTATTTTTAATTCATGTTATGTTGGTATTATTTATTAAATGTAGTTTAAAAATTTGAAATTTTAGATTTTTAATAGAAACTGTGTTTAAAATGATCAAAATGCAATTAGTTTCTCTTTCGGTTTAAAATAATTAAGAAGGTAATATAGGAAACTGATAACTTAACTGCTTAGAAGTACTTTTTTAATACAACTATTCAGGCATTATTTTATAATTTAAATAATTAGTTCAATTACATCTTCCATTTTATTATACCTAATGTAATGTGTTTGGTAATCGAGTATTAAAAATTGGCAATCGAGAAGGTAAGTCATTATATGGCAAGCTGTTCTTATGGTAATCTTTAATTTTTTGCTGGGTAGAAACATGAAATGAAGTATGTAGAGTCTGGATTAAGTGAGAACCCATAAAAGATGACTTCTTGGTACTTTATCCTTCTTCAAAAGGTACTTTTTGAAATTTCTATAATATTGAAGCTAGAAACATTATGTATGTTGAGTCTGGATTAAGTGAGGACCCATAAAAGAGGACTTTTTGGTACTTTTTCGAAAGGTACTTTTCGAAATTTCTATAATATTGAACCTAAAATACGAAATAAAAAATATATGTTTGATAGCCGCAAGGATTTTATGAGGTACATTGGACACCGGCTTCGCTAAGAATACATTCTCCCTGTATCAAGATTGTTCGGCCTTAGGCCTGCTTTTTAGGAAATCTTTACTAAGCGAAGCCGGTGTTGGTCATATTATAGAGTGGGACATCCTTGCATACGGCCGTAGGCCTTCTATTTAGGAAGTATTTATTAAGCGAAGTCGTTGTTGGACATACCATGGAGTAGAATATCCTTGCCTTGTTTCATATGAAACAAATCCCTAATTTTAATATGAAATAATTTCCCATTTAAAAATAACAAATTATGGAACAAGTCGGTTTTAGTGACATTTCTAAAAAAGTAGGTCGCTCATACTTTCGAGTGGGGCTTGAAAGTCTAATACATTTCAGTTTCATCGCTTAATAAAGATTCCCTTAATAGTCGACCAGCTGCCGGGCGCAAGGACTTTCTACTCTATGGTATGTCCAACAACGTCTTCGCTTAATAAATACCCAGCGGTAAAAATACACATTATGTATTCGCTTATCTAAGAGATATTTCGTGGCAGTCAGTGGTGATGCTTTCACTTATTCTTCCACTTAGATTTAACATAAAAGTGTCTTAGGCTGTCTCATCTATGTGCTCTCGCTTAGAATGTAAGCCACAATATCATTAAGACAATTGAAAATTTCACTAACATAATGTGTGGAGTTCTAAGCGAAGTTAATGAGACGCCTATAAACGCTTGCAAATAAGAATGTAATGTATGTAGATTACATTCATATTTGCATTTGTAAGTTAAAATACCAATATATATTTTTTATATTTATTTTAAAATTATGCAAGTTTATTTTAAAAATATCATCAAATATTAAACATGTATTATAGTCAGTGTTTAAAAAACTAGACTACAAGTAGCTGTAGTAACGAAAAATAAGTACTTTTGCAGTTAAAAAATGTTCCAAAGCTAGCAGAAATCATTTACAATTACTACTGCTACCTCCACTAAATTTTATGTGGATCGGTCCATAATTGACCCTACCCCCCATATAAGGTCCCCTTCAGAAAATCACTTTAACGCTCATTATTGGCGTAAAAATAAGTATGTCTTATATGAGCCAAAACCTTTCGAGCAAATTTTATGTGGATCGGTCCATAATTGACCCTACCCCCCATATAAGGCCTCCTCCATAAAATTACTTTAACGCTCATTACTGGCTTAAAAATACGAGTATAGCGAACAAATTTCACAGAAGTAAAGTTTATACGAGCCAAAATCTCTGGCGCTGCGAATTATGGCCCCAGGTAAAATGGCCCCAAAACGTAAAACGAAATATGGCCCCAACAAAGATACAGGAAACAAAAACACGAAAGTTTTGTTTTTTTTTTTATATATTTTTTGGGGTATTTCAACATTTTTATATTTGGGGTAATACTGCATTTTGCAAAAAAAATAAAAATGACCCCAATGTTGTGAAATGAAGAAATACCCCAAAACGAAACTTTTTTCCTTTGGGGCTAATTTTCATTCTTAAATTTTGTAAAATACGTGAATATTAAAATATTAAAAAGGGACCTAAAAAACCATATAATAATTAGGGGTGATCTTTCATTATTACTATTTATTAATATTTTATAAAAAATCAGAACATTATCGCGCGATATTTTTTATTAAAAAATATTTTATGTAATAATATTTGTTGTATTTTCATAAAATGTTTGTTAATTTTGAACATATTTTTACAAAAAATATTTCAAGAATGTTCAAAATTAACAAACATTTAATAAAAATACAACAAAAATTATTAAATATGAAATTTTATAAATATGTTAGCTTATATTTGAGGTGGGATGTCATAATGTCCATTGACGTTATGACACACCAAAAAGTTTCATAGTGTCCATGGACGTTATGACAATTTTTAAAAGTGTTATAATGTCCATTGACATTGTATCACTTTTAAAACAGAACTGTATTTGAAAATTTGTAAAGAATTTATGAAAGGGACATTCTTACCCCCAAAGGAATTTATCCTAAATTTGGTGTATGTTGCATTTTGGTTTCCATTTAAAAAGTTTTCTGTATAGCCGGCCTTCGGCCGGGCGCAGGGGTTTTAAACTCTGGGGTATTTCGAATACCGGCTTCGCTAAATTAAGCCTTCTTTTGATAAATGGACTCTTTGAAATCCATAGACTTTATGCATTGTGACACTTTTGAAATTGTTATAACGTCCATGGACACTAGACTCAATTTAGTGAGTCATAACGCCCATGGAAAATATGACACTGGACTTTATGACACGTCACCTATATTTGAATTAAAATTAAATGCATTTAGAGTTGGAAAACAACCAGCCAAGTGTAGAAAGGAATGTAAGAAAAAATAAACTCACTGTTATTGTTGGTGTTTTGTCAAAACTTTAATGTTTTGTGAAAGATGCGTTTTGAATTCTTATTGAGTTTAAAATAATTCTTTCATAAAACATTTCTAGTTTTCCTAAAATATTGGGAAAGGTTTCCTGATGAGCTGGCTTAAGCAACCGGCGAAATGCGCATAGGAACTAGCTTCCCCACCATCAATACATTACAGTGAATTTATTTAAAAATTGGGGTTGAAAGCACGATAAGAAACTCTTTAACTTATTTGAAAAAATAATAAAAATCCCGAAATCAATTTTTAAATTAAATTTGCAAGTGCCCGTGCATTTAAAACTGAATACCCTATTCTGTTGTTTTTATAAACAACAAAATAGAAGTTGTTTATTTTGTTTTTATTTTTTTTTTTTCCCTTACAACTGCATTTAGAGTTGGAAAACAACCAGCCAAGTGTAGAAAGGAATGTAAAAAAAAAAAAAAAGAAACTCACTGTTATTGTTGGTGTTTTGTCAAAACTTTAATGTTTTGTGAAAGATGCGTTTTGAATTCTTATTGAGTTTAAAATAATTCTTTCATAAAACATTTCTAGTTTTCCTAAAATATTGGGAAAGGTTTCCTGATGAGCTGGCTTAAGCAACCGGCGAAATGCGCATAGGAACTAGCTTCCCCACCATCAATACATTACAGTGAATTTATTTAAAAATTGGGGTTGAAAGCACGATAAGAAACTCTTTAACTTATTTGAAAAAATAATAAAAATCCCGAAATCAATTTTTAAATTAAATTTGCAAGTGCCCGTGCATTTAAAACTGAATACCCTATTCTGTTGTTTTTATAAACAACAAAATAGAAGTTGTTTATTTTGTTTTTATTTTTTTTTTCCCTTACAACTGCATTTAGAGTTGGAAAACAACCAGCCAAGTGTAGAAAGGAATGTAAGAAAAAATAAACTCACTGTTATTGTTGGTGTTTTGTCAAAACTTTAATGTTTTGTGAAAGATGCGTTTTGAATTCTTATTGAGTTTAAAATAATTCTTTCATAAAACATTTCTAGTTTTCCTAAAATATTGGGAAAGGTTTCCTGATGAGCTGGCTTAAGCAACCGGCGAAATGCGCATAGGAACTAGCTTCCCCACCATCAATACATTACAGTGAATTTATTTAAAAATTGGGGTTGAAAGCACGATAAGAAACTCTTTAACTTATTTGAAAAAATAATAAAAATCCCGAAATCAATTTTTAAATTAAATTTGCAAGTGCCCGTGCATTTAA